CCATCCTTTTGTACATTAAGAGCTTGCTCATGCTCCTTCATTATCTTCTCCAATACTTGGTCAAGAGCTCTGCTTGTTTCCTTTAATTGACGTGTTAATCCCTGAAAAACAGAGAGATTTAAACAGGTTATTGACAGTATCAGTGAGGATCTAGATTTTGTGGTGTCCCAAATCCTTTCAAATATCATACCTGAAGATCAAAGGTTTCTAGCCAAGGCACAAAAGATTGAATGCTCCGGTCAAGCTTAAGCGATATGAGAGAAGCCCCTTGAGATCAAATTGATCATCTTTACTACGTCCCAGCACCATCTTATAAACCACATCTTCCAAAAGTTGGTGCACCTTCTCACTCAAGTTCACAACCTCACCTATTGTTGCAGCTGGGTCAAGTGATGACTTTATCATTATTCTCAATTCCTCCCTCCTTATAGGACCAAACAAGTCCACTTTTGAGTTTTGAAGCACTGAGAATTAGGTGTTGGGCACACATCTTCCTCATGTTGCGCCAGTATGAACCATACTCAGAAAATGACATACTCTTGGATCCGTAAAATAAGTAATCCACGGCTTGAGTTTTGGGTCGATCTGCAAAAATAGGGTCATGGGTCTTAAGGAATAGTTCAGCAGCTTCAGGAGAGCAGACCACAGTGACTGGGACCTGTCCTAGCCTCAAGGACATGATGGATCCATATTTGTTGGCCAGAGTTTGAAAGTTGCGATGTGGGAGAGTGCCTAGCAAGTGAAAATTCCCAATAATGGGGAGGGCCAAAGGACCTGTAGTGATGCATGCATTGAGAATGACAGAAATTTGATCAACGAGAAATATATCAGTCCAGATGCCAGAAAGCGAATAAAAGAAAAAGAAAGAATAGAGGAAAACTGTATAACAAATACAAACCTGGAGGACGTTTGCAAGCGTCTTTGGCCTGGTTATTTGGACGCAAGAAGAGACACAGAATCATGTAAATGAAAGTCAGAAGGAGGATTAATGCAGGAATGGCTACTATTGAAGGAATCATGTTTGACAGTGAAAATGGAGAAATGGAGGACGTTGATGACAAGTGATGATTGATCAACACGTATGAGATCACAATATATATAGTGTGATCAGTTAGTGATTAGTGGCTAGGAATTAGGAAATGAATACTTAATTGGCATTATTGCATGCACTAAATTTTATTGTAGCAGTATTTAGAAATGATATGGACGTGGGATGGGAAAGCAACAAAATATCCAAGTGTAACGGTATGGATGAATTCCTCACGGAAGATCAACGACCAGGGTACTTGTGATTTAAAAATGAATGCGATTTTAATAAGATATTATTAAAATGAATATAATATTTTTACTTACTTAGTGATGATGTTGTTAATAATAATAATAATATTGATTAAAATGATATTTCTGTTATGTTTTTTTATATAGAAAAAAAATTGATATTTACTTCTCAGCATTTATAATTTTCTTGATTCTTTTATGTAATAGTGTTAGTATTAAGGGCAACATCACATGGTTTTCAAATATTGAGTTAGAATATTTAAGGATGAAATTATCATTTAACCCAAAAATTAATGCTAAATCAGGATTTTATCATAATTTTGGTTTTTAAAATGAGTCTTCATTATCTTATATTTTAACACTAAAAATATTTTTTAAAAAATCCTAATTTAATAATCCCTATATCCAAAATTATAAGACAATGTTGAAAAACTTTTGTTATCCCAAAATGCTCCTCCAATTCTTATTGTATAAGATACTTTCAACTATTTTAAACATTTAAAAAAAGTTATTTTTTTCTTGATATCATAAAAAATGTGATATACTTTAATTTTTATCATTAGCTTTAAATTATGATACAATTATATTAAATGCATTCGCCTTAATCAAGAAAAGATAAAATTAAAAAAAAATTAATTATTACAAGATGACCTGCATTTTGAACCAAAATTTATTTTTAAAAGTTGTCCTACAACTATGACCAGAGGAAATATACTTCTCTTGTCCTATTTATAAGGCATTTGTCAATTTCAATATTCCTCTTTATATTTTTGTCTTTATTAAATACTTTGAATAAAAATATTAGTAATGAGATTTAAGAATATTTTTTAGGAGTAAAAGTAAAAACTTATTAAATTTTAAAATAAAAGTTAATGAAATTTATTGTTTTTCTTGATTTCAATAAAATATACTGAAAGTGACTTATAAATAGAATTAAAAATAGCAAGACAATTTGACAAAAATAAAATTTCATTGTCGAGACTTTTCTAACATTATCCTTTGTAGATTTAAAGTTATATTAAATGAAGTATACTTTTAAAAATTTATAATTTTGTTTTAAAAAAATAAATTGATGAAGTGCTGTTATTGAACTTTATTAATATATGTAAACTTGTCTCAAATTATTTTGTAATTTAGGAGAGAGGGAGTATTAATTTGTTAAAAAGTTTTTAATTATTATTCTTCCATTCTTTTAATTTCATTAGAACAGATTTTAAATCTAGAGAGTAAAAGTACAATGCCACAGTCAATATAAGATATATGTATCACGTGTTCCAAAATATTTAGTCCGCAACTTTCAGCATGATTTAGACATTTTGCCCAACCAAACGTAAAATGAACATAATGAAAATTAAACTGATCATTGAGACAACAATTTAAGAGTCAATATTTTAACAGTAATTGAACCTGCGTCAATCTAATCATAATTAAAAAATATAAAAATATTTATACATAATTAAATAAATAATATTTAAATAAAAAACCATTAATTTATATGAACTGTTCATGCATAAATCACTTATGACCTAATAAATAAGAGTTATTAAAGAACAAATATAAGGATTTTTATTTTTTAACTCAAAGAACTACTATTTTCATATCAAATTATACAAAAATTTTAAAAAAAATATTTTAAAATATAAGACATTTTAAGAATATTAAAATTTTATTAAATGAATTTATTTTAATATTATTTTTTATTTTTTAATTTAATTTATAATTTTCTCTCTTTTTAATATATTAATTAAAGAGTATTTTTAAAAATTTATGCATTCTTTCAAAAAAAATAAAATTGTTAAGAACATTTAATAAAATATATTAATATATAAAATTTTATTTTAAAAATATTTTATAATTTGTGATAAAAAAAATTATTTTAAGCTTAGTAAAAAAAATATAAAATGCAAAAACTTGATCATCATCTACAAAGCTTCACAAGTATGAACAGAACATGATTTTGACACTCTGCCTGATCACTTGTCAGTTACAGTTCTTTGTCCCGATTTGCGAACCAGCTTCATCGCTGTAACTGCTGTGACTTTGTCCTGTCGTGTTTCATCAGTTTGAGCAAGGCGGCGTGAAGAAATTTGAAGCCGAAATCATTTATGATTTAAAATGTTTAACATATGGTAAGTTGTCTATATTCATATCAATTTTTACTCTTGAATTGCAAAATCAGATATTGAAATTTTGTAATCACGTAATTTTAATATTAATTTAACTTTCAATAGATAACATAATTAATTCATTTAAAAAAAATTACATATATATCTCATAGAGTAGATTTATTTAAAATAAATCTCATGAAATTTAAAAATCATAGTCAGGTTCTTAAAAACTTGATTATAATTTGAAATTAAACTATAAAAACATTAAGACCCTCGTAAAACATATATTATATTAATCAAATAATTAATTTGTAACTATTTTATCAGCAATTTACACTTATAACTTAACTTTTTATAACTGTAATTTCACATTTTTATTAGTTAAACAATCATGAGTTACTAATAAAAATTAATATTAATTATTTACAACTATTTAATCAATATAATTTTAAATTTTTATAATTATAACTTTACATATTTAATAGTTAAACTGATCAATTTAATTATTAAATATATAAATTTACATTTATAAAAAGTTAAAATTATAGCTATAAATAATTGATGAAATGGTTGTAAATTATTTGACTGATCTAATATAAATTTTTTTAATAGGGGTATTATTATCTTTTTATCTTAATTTTAAATTATACCTAAATCCAAATTAGTCATAATTTTTGAAATTCATGAAACTTATTTGTAAATGGAAGTTTAATTTTACTACATATGACAGAAGCTTAATTTAATCACGAATTATTTTTTCTACTTTATTAATGTCATCTTTGTGAATGTTTTCAGAGAAGAATTCTTTGAACCTCTTTCTCTTGAGCTAAGATTAAGAACGAAGGCAAGAATATTGAAGAGATTAATGCGTTATGAGTCTCATAAGTATGAAAATAAATGGTGTTTGATTAAAATTGATGAAAAAGTATTGGATAGTCCATTTGTTTATAGTATAGGCTATCTAGTACTCTTTCAAAAATAGTTCATTGTTAAATTTGCACTTTTCTTATGCTGACATGTCGTGTCACGTGTCATTGTGAGCCCCTCATAACGTCCGTTAGCTAAAGTTAACAATGGGCTGCTAATGCTCTATTTTTTAAAGTTCGTGATTTATTTTGCACCATTTAATAGTTTAGGCTATCAGATGCACAGCTGACAAGTGCTTAGATCTTGGTATAGAGAGCCCAAATGATTCAGTCATGTCCAAATCAGCAGGTTTCATCCCAAAAGGAAGCTCCCAATTAAAGCAGTGTACAAGTCAAGCAATCACAAGCTTAACTGTGGTCAGACCCGGTTGCATTCCTAGACATTTCCTACGTCCCGAACCAAATGGTAAGAGCTGTAAATCATGTCCTTGCAGGTCTATATTATTGTTCAAGAACCTCTCTGGATAAAACACATCAGCATTGTCTGACCATATTTGAGGATTTCGTCCTAGTGCCCATAAATTTACTAAGGTTCTTGACTTTATCTATGTAAAACCCATAAACCAAAACATCCTTTGTGGATGCTCTAGGGATGAATGGGGCAACAGGATGGAATCTGTAGTTCTCCTTGACAACCAAGTTCAAGTAATTCAACTTTGATAAGGCTGTCTCTTCCACCATTCCGTCCACAATTTCTAGCTCATCTTGTAGATTCTTCATCACCCTTGGATTTCTTAAAAGTTCTGATAGAGTCCACTCGACAGTCACAGCAGAAGTTTCATATGCCCTAGAAATCAAAGATAGTATTAAAGCCTTGATGTCATCTGGAGTGATTTCATAGTTTTGTTCATCATCCATGGGTTGATGGATCAGTGACAATAGTATGTCTATAAAGTCTTGGTGTTTATTCTCATCCTTATGATTGTCAGGGGCTTGCTCATGCTCCTTTATTATCTTCTCAAACAATTGGTCAAATGCTCTGCTTATTTCCTTAAAGCGTTGTTTTAATCCCCAAGACAATAAGATTTGAGTAGTTTCATTATATATGAACCATATTAAAATTTGCATTGTGACAGAGAGACACTTAAACCCACACACATCAGAAAGATGGCATCCTCACTGCAGGTGTGAAAACGTTGATCAAATCATTAAAAGAAGTCATCCTATTCATTTGAAAGATCGTACCTGGAGATTAAAAGCTCCTAACCAAGGAAAAAAATCTGCAAGATTAAATGCTCCAGCGGTGTCTCAGAAACGAGCCGTTTCGGATCAAACTGGTCATCCTTATTGCGTCCCAATATCATCTTATAAGTTATATCTTCTAGAAGCCCATGCACTTTCTCACTGACGTCCACAACCTCACCCATCTTTGCAGTATTCTCTAGAGACTTCACCACCATTCGTATCTCCTCCCTCCTAAGTTGACCAAACAGTTCTTGATTTGAAGCACTGAAAAGATGTTGGACGCTCAGTTTCTTCATGTCGCGCCAATATGAACCATACTCAGAAAAGGCTCCACCTTTGGCGCCATAAAATAGGTAATCAGTGGCCTGAGACTGAACAGGGTCGTGGGTCTTGAAGAGTAGTTCAGCTGCTTCAGGGGAAGAGACCACAATGGTTAGGATCTGTCCGAGCCGCAGGTACATGAGGGGCCCATATTTGCTAGCCAGAGATTGAAGGCTGCGATGTGGTAGTGTGCCTAACTGGTGGATGTTTCCCATTATAGGCAGGGCCAAAGGTCCTATAGTGATGCATTATGAAAAAAGTTATGAAAGTAAGGTGAAAAGTTGCCTTCGCCCTAGATTTCAATTTCAGAAACTGATGATGAACATTAAGTTCCAGCAAGACATAACAGATAAATACCTGGAGGACGTTTCTTGTGTTTATTTGGACGCAAGAAGATAGTGAGACTGTGCATGGCATGGAAGTCAAAAGTAAGAGTCCAGGAATAGCTATTGTCGAAGGAATCATGTTCTATAGTTGGATGCTGATATAGATGATCAATGCATGGAAGAGATAATATATATATATATATATATATATGTACATCGACTTCTCAGTGACTATTGATTGAAAGCTGAGACGAAACAAATGCCTTTGGTTCTCTGGGCGATAATTGAATGCCACATTTGGACGAAATTTACTGTGGCCCCAATGAAAACTGATTTGGTGAGGTGTTTATTAATGTGTAAGTTGAATGGATTCATCTGCGCTGAAATTTCAAAAGCAGATAAGCGGAAAAATATTCTGGCATATAATTTTAGGTCTGGTGAGAGAATTTTGCTACGGGATTTGATTGGAGTATCAATTAAAAAGGAAAAAGATTTATGCTTTTATTTGTTTACTTTTTCCCCTTTACGTCTTAAAAGTAATTTTTTTTTTTTAGGCCAGCATCATAAAAGAAAGTTGGAACATCATAAAAGAATGAACTTGATACTATTAAGATCAAATTTACTACTGATACTTTTGGGATTTAAATACACACAAGAATATAATTGCCTAATGAATGCTGCCGCCCACTCCCAGGCAATATACTAATCCTGAAAATCTGACCAAAATGTCAATCATTTCTCGTCTATATTAGGTTCCATTATTGAAACAAGTCGATCATTTTGAATATGATTGCTCCCTCTTTGGAAGATCTGTTGCCACTTCAGACAATGTCAGACAAATTATTTTATTAATTACTGGAATCATCTGATCGTTTCCCTACTTTATGTGATCTTGTAGCAACTCCTATTCCAAGAAGAGATCAAGGTGTTTTTCTTTTTACTTTTTTTTTTGGGGGGGGGGGTGTCGGGTGTTGAGATAATAAGTGCATGTGGTTTCATGATGGAAACCATCAAAATCAATAAATGGTTGACGGTCCACAGACTACATGAACTCTCTCATCAAATGTGGCTATCTTAGACCTCAATTGTATACTGTAAACAAAATGACTATCACTGATGGACACCATGAAGTGCTCTAAAAATTGAAATGGAAAGAGACATGCTCAATAGGCCAGAATTCATAAAAGCTTTTTTGTCAATCAAGAAATTCATTATGGAACTAAAACTTGATAGCAGGTTTATCTAAGACTCTCACGATTCAGATCACAATATAGTTTCCTTAATTGTTGTCAAAATCCAGTAATCTCGAGTACAATGTAGGGATCCACCCCACATCAGAAAATGCCAGAGAGAAGATTTGCAGCTGTGGAGATGGCGGCTCCGGTTATGGCACACTGCACAATCTGTTCATGAGAAGAGTCATCTAATGTAAGAGCAAGAGCTGCCCCAGTGATAGCTCCTGCAACTGCACTGTTTTTCTGCATCAAACACACAATTCATGATTACACTATTAACATTTCTGTGAATACCAGAAACAAAACAATCTGCAGCTAATCTAAGGAAAACCTTCATGCCTGAAACAATGAGACAGATTTAATTCTTGTCGTTGTTCATTTTATGTGTGGTCCATAAGAGGGACTGTTATCTTCATTCATATAAAATCTTGAATTTTTGGCATAACGGTAAACCTCTTGATCCAAACAAAGACCAACTATATTAGTGATAAGAACATTGAATATTTTCTTTTAAAAAAATAAGTTTGGGTCTTAAACCAATCGTGATACCCAATCATGAGCTCCACGAGCCTCCTTCAGACCATATGTGAGACCTGAATATATTCCTGCAGTCAAACCTGTATGATGGGAGAAGAATTTGTTAAGGTTCAGAATAGCTCGTTGACGTTCAAGAGATAAACATCATAAGCATGAGAAAACTCATAAACATAAATTTACTCTGTTTCAAAAATATCATTATGCTCACAACTGAACACATTATTAGTAAATTCAATGTTTATAGAAAGATAAAGTGGACCGTAGCATAAAAGATATCATTACCCCATTGTAAGGACTCTTTTCCAGTATTTTTCACCTGATCAAAAGGAATAAAGGAAGCAATTATTAGCAAGAAATCCATGATAAAGAAAAACATGATATTCCACCAAAAAAAGAAAAAGAAAAAAATGACATGACAGTATATATATATATATATATATAAATTGATACACTCGCACACACATCCTTCCCCGACAGGGAAGGCCACCACACACAGCACCATACCAATGCAAGGTTAGATGAAGAGGTGGCGTTGCCACTTAGACAACATGCCATTGGCATTTATATAAAGTTTAGCATAAAAGTTCAATCGTGGAACATTAAGACAAAAACACCGGGTTTTGAAAAGCTCATGTGCGAAAACTTCAATGTCATAAGTTTTATGAGAAATCTCACCATGGCCTCAAGAGATTTACTGCTGGTCTCTCCTGCAATCAGAAAACAAAAATTCACAAAAAAATACCGAAAGGAACATATATAAAATGACGTCATAACACACAACAATATCTCCTGTCTGTATAAAATACCTGTGAGACCTGGAAGACGACTTTTATTGGCACCAGGTAGTACTTCTGGCGGTAGACCGTCGTTATTATCAAGCCCAGAACCTAATTAAAAATCCATACAGTAAATACTAAATTGTGCGTACCATTGAGTTTCCACATCATACATATGGGATCAACCAAATCTAACATTATGTCGGTCCTCTCTGTCGACATAGATCGAGGATCATTATAAAATCTATAAGAAAAAGTGAGGAATCATTAATGAACCTTCAATGGCTGTGAAATAAGCTTCACGAGACACTGCTTGGACGGCTCCTATCTGTAAACACACATCCACCACCATGAGCACGAGTTTTGCTGATATGCGCTCAAACACACGGAGAAAGAGTAAACTAGCATTTTTTCCTGTTTTAGGCCTTTAGAGTTTTATAGCATTTGAGACCTAGATATATGACATTGATTCAAGTCCTTCAATGAAAATCATAATTATTTTATACAGTCCTCATGACATCAAGATCAGCCATTCTTTGTTTAAAGAAACTGATTTCCAGTGATCTATATATACACCATTTTATTTCCCTGAAGTTGCTAATCCTCCCTATAACAAATAATACATTTAAGACTGAGTTAACGAAATATGTTTCAAACCCTAACGATAATTTACTCGAAGGGTTAAAAAGGTGGAGGTTACCCCTGCAGCTTTGACGAAGCTCTCAGCAATGCGATTGAGAAGAGGGTGGCCGAGGTCGAAGAAACCCCCTTTGTCAAAGCTTCGAAGCTCATCAAGCAAAGACCGTGTTTCCAAGTTAGTATTCATCTTACTTAGGCCTCTAAGCGTTGATCACAAGCAAAATTCTCTGATATCTCTCACTGCTGGGTGAGCCAGAGATTGACAAGAAAGTGAAAAGATGCCAAGATTGGGGAAGATGAAGGAAATAACGGACGACGAGTGCTCACACCTCCCAGTGAGGACGCGTGTGTTTAGAAGATCACACGTGGCCGTTTCCAAAATGACGACGACGCGAAATTCGCGCTTACTAAGTCGCAACGGATTTGACACGTGTATAACGGTCTCAGAGAAATTGTCAAAATCCCAAAACCGTTGCTATTCATCTTTCGTGCTCCTAATTGACAAGTTTCCATATTCAAAGCTTATCGCCTGCGTGCCATGTGTATAGATGATTTTTTTTTTTCCCAACCCAATAAGTAACACACAGGAATTAACGAATAAAATAAAATTTTTAATAGGTAATATAATTGATTTTATAAATTATGATAATAATTAAATAAGTAAAGTTACAGAGTTAACAAATAATGTGAGGAACTGACAAATAAAATTAACAAATTTGTTTATGGATTAGCTACCAAATTAACTGCAATGTATTAAATGGGACAAGTAATACATGGTAATTAATAAGTAAAGTAAAGTTTTTAACATTAAGTAGTATGGTTAATTTTAAAAATTATAATAATGATTTAACAAGTAACAAAAATAAATCACCCAATGGACTTCTTTCATTAATCAATTGCATACTTGTTAAAAGCTTGATTTTATTTGTAAATTTCATTTTATTACTCGTTACGAGGTAATATAATGAAAGAAAAATATTTTGACCATTTTATTTTATAATTTTATTTCAATTCAAGCCCAATATTTTGTTGAGGAATTTCAAATTGTACTATTAGTCCTAATTTGAAAATATATCACATCTATGATCTTCAGATGAAATTTTTCCAATATTTTCCTTCGATGGTATTATAATTAAATTTTATGAGTAATTTATGTACTTTTTGACTTTTAGTAGGGATAATTTAAAAAAAATAATGCTTTAAATTATAAAATATTCTGAAGAGACATTCAATGTCTCAAAATATAAGATACTTTAAAAAAATTAAAATTCAATTAATAAGTTTATTTTAATATTACTCTTTCTCTCTTTCTATTTAATTCCCAACCATTTGAAAATTAAGATACTTTGAAAATTAAGATGTTGTTCGTCGGAGGAGAGGAATGTGTGGGATTGACACTTGCTCGTGGTGCCTTGAGTATAAAGAAGATGCAATCCACATGCTCAGAGATTTCCCTGTCGGATATGGTTTGATATGGTGCAACTTCAGCATCGGCATAAGTTTTTTAAGTTGGAGTTGAAGGGATGGATAAGCTGGAACCCCAAAGATAACAACGTAGTTGTATCCTCGAATTGGAACGCTATGTTTATCATGTTATGCTGGTGTATATGGGGATGACATAATGAGCGCATCTTGTAAGGTAGAAACCAGTTCAATAAAAGTCTAATGGCAAAAGCTAGAGGTATTTGCGTGTCTTTCTCTGACTCGTTGGCCAAGCTTGCAGGCATCAGATGGGAAGTATAACATCCCCATTCTTAATTCCCTAATTTACTAATAAAAATAATTAAGTAAGTTGATGTGGTGTGTGGTCATACGAGAATAATAAGGGTTTTTAGTTAGAATTTTAGGTATAATTTAGGTCTAAAGTGAAATTGAGTCACTTGGAGACCAAAAAGTAGAGAAAAACAAGCTAAACAGTCTCTGTGCCACATGTCGCGGCTGCGTGCACGATGTGCCTTGATGCATAGGGCCATCAGGCAAGAACTTCCTTCTCTGTACCATATGCGATGGGGTGTGGTAACAAGCGCCAAGACGCGTGGTGTGAAATCTGCAAAATTAATATGCGAACTGATTGGAAAAATAGAGAGAAAGAAAAGAGAGAACAGAAGAGACACACCAAGCTTTGATAGCGTTTGCTTGTGGATGATATTAGGAATATTTTAGAGGCTACAAACACCCAAAATAAGTATCACACTCATTAATCTTCTCATTTCTTCTACATTTATGAGTTTGTAGTTAGGGTTTGATAATGAGAGTGGATTTTCAGTCCATATGAGTTATAGATCAAAATTTATTGACTCAAATGAAGTTAATGGGAATAGATTAGAGTATCTAAACCTAGTATAGTGAATTTTTGGTGTCTTGAATTGTTGGGCACCATTAATATCCAAAAACCTCATTTATTATGAGTGGTTGGAAGATTGTGATGCCATTAATGGGAATCTAATAGTTTATTATGTTATTGAGGACTAAAGGTAATTAATAAATTCAAGGGATAGGCTCAAATTCTTATGGATTGAATGTTGGGCAATTTAAAAGTGGATAATGAAGGTTTAATGCTTGAAATAGTAGTGTTAATGAAATTCAACTTGGTTTATTGTAGTTTTTAGCTCTTGATCACCTATTGGATTGAAAATTCAAGCTTGGAAGCTAGTAAATTGAGGGGTAAACTTTTGTCCTCTCAAAGGTTTAAGGTAACCATAAAAAACTCTATTTTGGATAGTTATATATTAATGGATTGTAAATTGATTTCTGTTGTAAATGTGGCATGCATGAGTTGATTTTCAATGTGAAAAGCATGTGTTAATTTCGATGAGTATATGAAAAATTGAATATGCAAAAGGTTATTGTGGCTTAAAATGAAAATATCTAATTAAGATATTTTTGAATATGAACATGCATATATCTTTAGAAAAATAAATGTGATGATTATATGAGATAGATATGTGTTAATGAGAAATGAATTTTGAGAAATAATGAGAATACATACTTGGGTAGTGCATGATCATGAGCCCAACATGATTGTTGTAATAATGAATAAATGAAAATGAAAAAGTGAAAATGAATGAGTAATTAATTATGGCATGACCAGTAGCGAGAGTTCGCCTAAGAATTGGGAGTAAAGAAAAATTAATATGATATTTAGGCTGTCCTCCAATGTATGGGGGTATAGTCTCATCCTATAGTTTGTCGAGGGACTATCTCATAGTTTGTTGAGGGATTAGAATTTAATTATTTCCACCGATTCAACGAGGAGAATAGCCTAGGGTATGAGACACCCTAGGGATTCAAGAATGGGGGAAGCCGTGGTTCGAGAGTGAGTCCTGTGATCTTTAGTTAGGTCACACCTCACGATTGGTGAGCTTGGGTAATCCAGTCACACAGATGGCGCCCTATTTAGTGTTATAGTTCACGATTTCAGTCTGAGAAAATAAGGAGGATATAAAGTTGGTTAATCATTGTCAAAGTAAACATATGACGTGTCACACATATTAAGTAGTGGCAAGTCGCATAAATAATGGGTTAAGGTCATATATCTGAGAATGTGGTGATAATACACCTAGTATATGTGAGTTAAAGAAATTATTAAATGATAAATGACAAATTATGATATGTGTGAGCATGTTTTACATACATGGTTCCTTATGCATGTACTTAGTTTATAATTGATATATAACTGCATATGGTAAGTTTAACCTTGGTTACGGAGTAGCCAGACTCTGGTGCTGAGAAGGAGAAGGCTAAAGAGGTAAGGAATTAGCATATTCCTTTTTGTATGCTTCTAACTTAGTTTATTTTGTGTAATAATATATGTTTGCCAATTTTAGGATGCATGCCATTATAGTTATACTATTTTGTTGTTGGAAATGTTAGATTTATATTTTAGGCCTTGAATTTTTGTGTATGTTGATATATATTTATTAATAAGGCTAAAATACTAATGCAAGTATATAAATAGACATTTGAGCATGTTTTGATTGTTTTAGGCGAAATGCAATGACAATTTGCCTTCCCCTCTATTTTTGATAAAAAAAAGTTGAGGAGTGAATTTTTGTTATATTGTGGTTTCAATGTGTGTGACATGTTGTACTGGTAGTCTTGAGTCTAATGGACATAGTCCATGTGTTAAGAAAAGCTTTTGGCATTTGTTGAGGATTTTAGACGCCTATTTTGTATAAAAGTTGTGAAAAGTAGTTAAAATGTGTTTGGGGTGTCCAACTTCTTAGTGTGACTTGCTCTGGAAATGAAACATGTGCCACTAGCTAATTCATATAAAGAGCTTTGTATAGACACCTAGATCACGTCATTCGGACATCAGATGGAGAATCAAGGCGAGTTGGACATGGTGCCTGAGCTGCGGCACGTGACACAGAGAGCAATATGCGGCGGCGCAGCATGCACAAGCTGCGGCACACTGCTCTGTCACACATTATAAAGGTCATTTTTCACTTGTTTTTGATTTCTTTCATTCTTCCAAGATATCTCATGCTTTTGAAACTTATTTTACTTTGATATAAAGAATTTTGATTGATTTAAACTCATTGTTATTTAGAAAACTTAGAATTCCTTGCTTTTGAATTAAACCTTGGTAATCACTCTTTGGGTTAATCTTTTGATTGCTATGAACTATATTGATTAATTGTGTTTAGTGGAGTGAGATTTTACAATTTGCTAACACGCTGCGGCACATTGCCCTATATCACAACACATGTTTTGTTTTTTAATCATTTTCGACTTCTTTCACTCCTCCAAGGTATCACATGCTTTCGAAACTTATTTTACTCTGATATAAAGAATTTGAATTAATTTAAACTCATTATTATTTAAAAAACTTAAAATTCCTTGATTTTAAACTAAACCTTAGTAATTACTCTTTAAATTAATCTTTTAATTACCATGAATTTTATTAGTTAATTAAGTTTAATGAAGCGATAATATTACAGGAAGAAGGACAAGCGTCTACAGCCCCTGTGGAACGTTGGCGTCCCCCAAACCCAGGTTGGGTTGCTCTTAGCATGGATGGAGTTCATTTAGACGTGTCACATCAATCTCGGTGTGGGGGGCTGCTAAGGGATAATATAGGAAACTTCCGCATGGGTTTCTTGTCTGCATTTAATAAGAGTCATAGTATGACAACAGAGTTATAGGCCATCCTTCTAGGCCTCAAGGTCGCATGGAACGCAGGGTACTGTAGAGTTACGCTCTAGTCTGATTGTTTGGAAGCTGTTCAACTTGCTCAAGGAGATAATGTGGATACTCATCAGGATGCTAATCTTATTTTGGAAATACAAAGAATGGTCAACCGTGATTGGGGTACTGTCATTTGTTAGATCTGTTG